AGTTATTATTTTTAAACCTTCAGCCATGAACTTTATGCAGGTTTCACAGTCTGCTTATATTGAAGTTGTTTTCAGTTCATTTTTCTGTGTAATAAACCTAAGCTTTCAATCTTTTTTTTTAAGACAGGATTTCACTGTCGCTCACACTAGAGTGCAGTGGCGCAATCTTAGCTCGCTGCAATCTCCACCTCTCAGGCTCAAGCTCAGGTGGTCCTCCCCACTCATCTTCCTGAGTAGCTGGGACTACAGGCGCATGCCACCATAGCTAATTTTTGTATTTTTGGTAGAGATGGGGTTTCATCATGTTGCTCAGGCTGGTCTTGAACTCCTGAGCTCAAGTGATCCACCTGCCTCTGCCTCCCAGAATTCTGGGATTACAGACATGAGCCACAGCACCTGACCACTTTCAATCTTCTTTAGCCTTGTGAATTTACTAGGTGTGGCTGATTTTGTAAAATTGTTTGACTAAAACAAATAAGTTTTTCTTAAAATAGGGTTTGGATTCTTACCCAATTGAAATAAATTTTTAGTAATTATCTTAACTCTTCATTTTACTAGGAGAAAACTGAGACCCAGAGAGGTGAGAGGACTTGATCAAAATAAAATCATTAACTTATTTTACAGCCAGGATTAGGAATAGCCTAACACTCCTTCTAATATGATTAACCAAAGATACTAATGTTGAGGATTGAATCTTCAATTTTACAAATACTACTGAAAATCGTAGTGAGTTCCAATTTTCAAAAATCACTCTGTTTTTGCAAATATATACAGATTGGGAAAAATATTCATTATGCTTAAAGAAAAAACACAATAAAGATTGTCTTAAGCAACAGTCAACATTCTATGTAAGTATTAAATGTTAGAGGAACTCCTTTTAACATAAAAAAATGAGATGAGGACATCTTCTATCATCATTGTAATTTGTTGTTGTAGAAGTCCAAGCTAATTCATAGAGATAAGAAAAAGAAATTACGTGTGACTGTCAGTAGGAAGCAAACCAAATTATCATTGTTTGCACATCTTTAGTGTTATACGTAATGTGTAATTGTCTACCAAGAAAATCCAAAAGAATCAATTGAAAAATTATAGTATTAGATACACGTAGTAAGAATCCAGTTATATGGCCAGTTACAAAATAAACATTTAAAGTTAACTGCTTTCTTTTATCTCAGTAATGATGAGTTAGAAATTATAATACAAAAATAAGATCCTATCCTCAGTATCAACACAAATCATATAATATCTAGAAGTAAGTTAGCAATGAACACTGGGCCCTGGAAACAAACAGACAAAAAAAGATATAGCTTAGCAAGAAATGTACTCGACCTACAATAAGAAAATAACAGTGTTTTACAAAGGGACAGAGTGGAGGCTTGAATAAATGAAAAACATACTTTAGCCCTTAGAGGAAAAAACTAATAATGTAAAGATGTCAATTCTCCCTAAAGTAATATATTCCTTTAATGCTTCTCCAATAAAAATCCAAAGGAAGAGTCTACAGGGATTTTGGCATGATTCTAAAATTCATCTAGAAGATTATTTATGTAACTGAAAACTCACAAAACAATACAACATTTTATTTATGGACAGATATATATGAAGTTAAAGTTTTAACACATGGCCTGGAAGCTTCCATGCCAAGTTCATGTTGGTGGTTACTTCCAGGGTGGGAGGAAGGGGAGTGAGTGAGAAAACCAAGCCTAAGGGACTTTGAATCAATCTGTTATATTTTATTTCTTTTCTAAGAAACATTTCTGAAGCAACTATGTTAAAATATTAACATTTAACAATATGCAGTAGGTGGTATCAAAGTATTCTCTGTAATTTTCTGTTTTTATTTTATTCTTTTCAAAAAGAAGACTGAAGGGGATGAGACGACTACACTGCAGATATTTTGACTTCTCCATGATGAATATAGTAGTTTTTGCATGCAAATAAGTGTATGACACTAAGAAACAAACAAACGAAACAAACTAGAAACAGATAGAGGGGGAGGCGTTATTTTAAATCAGTGAAGGAATGAACAAAGGTCCCTACTGATGTTCACATCATCATACATCAATTTTTTTTCCAGAGAGGTTTTAAAAAAAGGAAATAAAATTGAGCAAGAAGGAAATATCATTGTACATTTATCGGATTTCAGGTGGAGAAGGTCAAAATCTCTGAACCCAATATAAAGTTACTCTTTATAAAACAGGCTATCAAATCCTTGAAGTAGGACAAGAAACAGGTACATTTGAACTTTGTGAGCAAGAATGAATTTTGTATAATCTTTTGGGGGAAATTAATATTTTAATATCTTTAATGTTAATATGCCTTGGCCTAATAATTCCATTAGTAATTTATCTTAAAGTAGTAATCAGAGATGTACACAAAATGTTATGTGTAAGATCTTTGTTTGTATATAACTTAAAATACAGAGTTATATACAATAACAAATACTGGAAAAACAATCTAACTGTCCAACACTAAGAAATTGGCTAAACAAATTATGGCGTTTAGGTTATACTATTTTGTGCCTTAAAAATTCATGTTGTAAGGTCATACGTGGTGACTCACACCTATAATCCCAATATTTGGGAGGCCAAAGCGGGCAGATCACTTGAGCCCAGAAGTTTGAGACCAGCCTGGGAAACATGGTGAAAATTACAAAAATTAGCCGGGGGTGGTGGCACACACCTGTGGTCCCAGATACTCAGGAGGCTGAGGTGGGAGGATCACTTGAGCCTGGAAGGTTGAGGTTGCAGTGAGATGTGATTTTGCCACAGCACTCCAGCCTGGGCATAGGGGATTCTATCTAAAAAAATTAATTAATTAATTAAAAGTCATGTTGTAGAACAATTTGCAAAAACAGTATTGCAAACATGTTCATGACATTAATATAATTAAAATACAGATTACAAATTTGTTTTTCTGTGTGATCACAATTTTGTTTTTAAAGTGTTTATAGTATTTTTAGTCTGATAAGCTACATGACATAATATTAATAGTAATTGTTTCTAGTTGGTGGGGTTATGGATTATTTTTAAATGTTCTTCTAAATGATTTTATGAATTTTTTACATTTTCTGTCATAAAAATGTGTGTGTGTGTTTTTTTCTTAAGTAGATCATATCCAATCTCATACAAGTGTTAATTAACTAAAAAATTTCTTAGACTTCAGGCTACAATTGCAAATGCTAATTAATAAACTTAGTTCACCTCTTTGGGGTTATGGCCATGGCTGAGAAAACTCCTGTGGGATTCTTTGATACATTCAGACTCCTCTAACGTGTCTGTAGCCTACTGCCTCCCACCCTTCATTCCTGATTTTTAGACCTACAGCACTTTGCAAAAGGCATTCTTCAAAAGTGTGTCTTCTTGCCATCCAACACATCAATGATTCACTGCCTTCATGGAGAATTATTGCACTCACACAGCAAACAGAGCAAGTTCTCTTAGATTTTTCAGCAGTGCCCAAACAGCACCTGCACTTAGCAGTTTATGTGCAGTAACTCCTGGAATCCTAAAAACACTCATGCAAGGTAAGTTTTCTTTATTTTACAGATGAGGAACCTGAGGGTTAGCAAAGCAAGAACTGTAATCTCAGAGTAACCAGGATGTTGAGCTTTGCAACTATAACTGTCTGACTTCAACATCTGTGTTCCTTCCTTTTCATCACGTGGCATCCAGGGGACCATTTATGTGGTACCATGGCAGCTGGTCAAATGATTGTTGCTCCAGAATCTATCAATTTAGTGAATAGGCTGGGGAATTAGACCAATAAACTGACAAAATGAGTGACATGTAGACAAAGCAAGTGACTGAATAACAAAGGTTTTCCCTTTCGACAATGTTGTCCAATGTGCTTCCTATGTTAATGCATGGCCTTACCATGCATTCGGTTGTGCAAACCAGGGATCTAGGAGACGATCTCATCACCTCCCATCCCTCAGCCTGCATGTCCAGTCTATCACCCACCAATTTTACCTGCTAGATATCTCTCACATCATCCACATCACCATAGAAGTTCAAATTGCCGTCATCTCGGCTGGGCATGATGGCTCACGCCTGTAATCCCAGCACTTTGGGAGGCTGAGATGGGTGAATCACTTGAGGTCAGGAGTTCGAGAACAGCCTGGCCAACATGGTGAAATGCTGTCTCTACTAAAACTACAAAAATTAGCTGGACATTATGCTTGTGTGTTGTCTCCTCAGGGTTTTCATCTTTCTGGCCAATGCACTCAGAAATACGGTTCTGAGAATGAAGTAATGTGAAGTCATAGTCACATATTCATGCTAGAGTATATAAAAGAGCAAATGACTGATGTGCATGAACAGGCAGCCCCTCTGAAGGAGATGGCTGAGGGAAGTCTCAGATGGGCGCACAGCTGTCTGAGCAGGGCTGCCTTGTTGGAAGGATGAGAGGGAAGAACACTTACTTCAAGCCCACAAGGAGGAAAAGGTGAGGTTTTTCTCTGAGTTGCACAGTTACCCAGCAAAACCAGTGTTTCCACCCCACTGGGTCTCAGGTCCCGGGATGGCCCAGGAGGTAAGCCTATGGGGTGTTGAACCCAGATGCCCACCAAACATTGTTTCTGGTTGAATAAATGCTCTGTCTCACAGATATGCTCTCCTGCTACATTTTTATTTTTTAAAGACAGTCTCTCACTCTGTTGCTCAGGCTGGAGTCCAGTGGCACAATCACAGCTGATGGCAACTGATATGGTTTGGCTGTGTCCCCACCCAAATCTCATCTGAATTGTAACTCCCGTAATTTCCATGTGTCATGGGAGGAATCCAGTGGGAGGTAATGGAATCATGGGGGCAGACCTTTCCTGTGCTGTTCTCACGGTAGAGAATTAAGTCTCACCAGATCTGATGGCTTTAAAAATGGGAGTTTCTCTGCACACGCTCTCTTTTCCTGCAACCATCCACGTAAGATGTGACTTGCTCCTCTTTGCTTTCTGCCATGATTGTGAGGCATCCCCAGTCATGTGGAACTATAAGTCCAATAAACCTCTTTCTTTTGTAAATTGCCCAGTCTCAGGTATGTCTTTATTAGCAGTGTGAAAGCGGACTAATACAGCAACCTTAAACTCCAGGGCTAAAGCGATCCTCCCACCTCAGCCTCCAGAGAAGCTAGGACTACAGGCACCTTCCACCATACCTGGTAATTTTTTTAAAAAACTTTTTATAGAGGTAGGGTCTTCCTACTTTGCCCAGGCTGGTCGAGAACTCCTAGCCTCAAACAATCCTTCTGCCCTGACCTCCCAAAACACTGAGGTTATAGGCATTGAGCCACTGTGCCCATCCCGTCCTGCTAGTTTTAAGACAGATGTCAATGCTGTTAAGACCAATAAAATACATTTAAAGTATTATTGAATTTAGAGAGTTTTTTGGTCTTATATGTATTTCAATTAAAGTTTTAAAAATACATAATTATTATCATGTTGGAGGGATCTAACAATTCCTTGAAGTAATTAAGGACTATTTACTGTCACCAGAAAGTGCAAGGAGTCATTGATCTAGATGTCATGATTCAAAGATTAAAGCTTCTTTCTCAATATCTGTCCTAATTAATTGATCAGAGGCAATTTCACCCTGCAGAAAAATGACACCAAGCAGTCTTGAGGTGTAATAACAAACAATAGCAACTTTTTATTGAATGCTTACCATGTACTGAGCACTGTGCTTTATATAAACTATCGTATTTAATCTTCATGATAGTACTGTGAGGTATTATCATTCATTTTGTAGATGAAGACACTGAAGCTGAAGTTACTTGCCCAAGGTCAAGCTGTTAGAGTCATTAATGGAGCTAGGATATAATAAGCCTAAATCTCATATTTCGTTTTCCTTTTTTTGTTTCTTTGAGATGAAGTCTCACTCTGTTGCCCAGGCTGGAGTGTAGTGGCACAATCTTGGCTCACTGCAACCTCTGCCTCCCAGGATCAAGTGATTCTCCTGCCTCAGCCCCCCAAGCAGCTGTGAATACAGACGTACACCACCACACCTGCCTAATTTTTGTATTTTTAGTACAGATGGGGTTTCACCATGTTGGCCAGGCTGGTCTTGAACTCCTGACCTCAAGTGATCCACTCACCTCGGCCTCCAAAAGTGCTGGAATTATAGGTGTGAGCTATCGTGCCCAGTCCTAAATTTCACATTTCTAACTGCCGTGTTTTATCCAGTCAACCAGGCACTGTGCTGGGGTGAGTAGTTCAGGTCTCTATCTTGATAGAACTGACAGATGAGTGGGAAAAACAGTCAGTTAATGAGCACGCAAATAAATATGTGCAAATTATGATCAATGTTGGGAAGGAAGGAAGTTGGGTGCTAAGATAGAACATGATGAGAGTTCCTATGTTACACAGGGTTACACAGGCAATTCTTTCCTGAGGAGGTGTCCTCCATGCTTCTTGAAGGAATTGCACTTTAAAATATTTTTGGAAAAGAGTAAACATATCACATCTTTTTCTTTGACCAAAGGTATTCACTTGGAAGTTAAGGGAATGGTGTGAAACCATACCCTATGGGGAAGCAAACTGGTTTTGAATCTCAACCTCATTATCTCATTAAACATAACTCACACTCTTCCTACTTACAGACTCTTGGATCCAACCATACTGGTTTGTTCACTGTCCTCCAAATGCTCTGAGTCTGCCTCCTCTTAGCTGTCCATGATTTCTTTCCTCTACCTCCCACTCCTCAATGTTCTCCTCCTTCTCTCATGTCCTTCTTCAAGTTCAAGTCCTTCTTCCACAGGGAAGCTTTCCCTGATGACCCTGAACCACAGAGATATCCTCCTTCATGACCTCATATTTATGCATCCACACACCAACCCACCTACCCATCAACCCATCCATCCATCCATCCATCATCCATCCATCCATCCATCCATCCATCCATCCATCCATCCACCCACCCACTCATCTATGTTAGTCAGTGTTCTCCAAAGAAACAGAACATATATTTTATGTTCTAAGCCTATATAAACCTATTGAGCCCTTACATAAACATATGAATATCAAGCCCTAAAATCTAGAAACAAGCTGTGAAAATGCTTTGTGATGAGCTGTTTCATATCACAAAATGGGACCTGAGTTTTGATTCAACAGATTCCAAACCCTTTTTTTGTAGAATATAAAAAGTGACATTTCTGAGCCTATTGAGCCTTTATATATATATACACACACACACGTGTGTATAAATTATAATAAACATCCTCATAAATCTCTTTATATTAAATAATATAATTTAGTATGTAATATTATATATTATATATGAGAGAGAGAGAGAGGGAGATTATAAGGAATTGGCTCAGGTGGTTATGGAGGCAGGCAAGTCCCAAGACCTGCTGAGTGAGTTGACAGCCTTGAGAACCAGGAAGAGCAAATAGCTCAGTTTGAGTCTGAGGACAGTAAAAATGGTGACGTCCCAATTTGAAGGCAGTCAGGCTGAAGAATTCTCTCTTAGCCTTTCTGTTCTATTCAGGACTTCAACTGAATGGATAAGGCCCACCCACATTAGAGAGAGTAATCTACACAGTCTACCGATTTAAATGTTAATCTCATCCAAAACACCTTCACAGACACACCCAGGGCAATATTTGACCAAGTATCTGGGCACTCCATGGCCCAGTCAAATTGACACATAAGATTAACCATCACACCATCCATCCATCTAATGTATTTGTATTCAATACTAGGTACGAAGTGCTGCTACTTCACTACACTTACTGTCTTTGTTAGTCTAAGTCCTCTAGAGGCAGACACCAAGATGGAATTAAACATGCAAGATTTTATTAGGGAAAATGCTCATGTAACAGAAAGTGAGGAGGGATCTGGAAAAGGCGGAGAAAGCCATTGACTGCAATGCACATCCAATCTTCCAGTGAAGGAGAAAGGGTGGGCAGAAGCATTCTAGACCCCTGTCCAGTCTAAGGGCAGTTTGGCAAGGTCCCTGGAGGGCCTTTGAGCCCAATTTGCTGCCAGAGGAACCCTGCATTTTCCAGGAAAGGATCTGCCTTAGCACATCAATTTCAGGGAGGAGCTGCTGGGGCCCTTAATCAATGATATTCTCTCAGGTTGGAGGTTTGTGAGGAGCTTTCTCATGGTCACCACGGTCCACTCCTTTGCTACACAGATGTACTTCTCCATGTAGATTTTGGGAGCCACTCTTCCATGATTCCCTTTGACTGAGGGGACAGTCCTTACCAATGACGAATGAGGATTGCAGTATATACACCTGGCAGCCTCACCCCTCTGGTAGGATACCGCCATCCACCCAGCAGTTATCAGTTGCCAGTAAGCCTGCCCTCCAGCTGCCCACAATGGTCTCCTTCTCATGAATGCGCCCTGTATTGGACTTAGGCTCTTTCCTGGCTCACTGTCCCATTCCCCTCCCTGACTCCCTGGGATCACTTCCTGAATCAATCACTTGTACTCATTCTGTCTTGGGATGTGCTTCTGGGGGAACCCAGGCTAATATAATAAGGAAACCTCTAATAATATGGTTCGGAAATAGTTGCTCTTCTCTAAGGATATACTTAGGCTTTAATTTCACAATTCACTGAGGATCGCTCTTAATACCAAGTATCACACAGAATACTTAATAGGCCATTTGAGAGGCTCCTTAAATTATACAAGTTCTTTTGTATTCACCGTCCTCAGTTATTTGGGGGAAACTCTTCAAACTGTGTTTTTCCTCTGCTCTCACACCACCACCACCACCAACAACACAGAAGAAAGCTTCTGTGACCAAAGGCATGGGGGTTTTCCCCACACACCAAGTGGCAGACATTGATGCTGGAAGTAGCATCAGATCTCACAGAGTGAGAGCTCAGTCCCCAAAACTGCCCCTACTCTGCCACCTCCAGACACCAGCCGCAAGTCCAGGCCTCCAGAACTTCTGACTGACTGACTTCAAGTTGAGGTTCTCACGATTCCCTCTTTGGGTTGGATTAATTTGCTGGAGTGGCTCACAGAACCCAGGGAAACATGTTTACTGCTTTATTATAAAGAATATTACAAAGGATACAGATGAAGAGATGCATAGGGTAAGGTATGGGGAAAGGGCCACAGAGCTGTTATCCTGCACTGGAGCCCCCCACCCTCCAGGAACCTCCCTGAGTTCAGCTATCCTGAAGCTTTCCAATTCCTCCTGGCTCTTTATGGAGACTTCATTACATAGGCGTGATTGACAACCATGTAGAAATGTGATTGGACAAAAAGCACATTATCTAAATCCAGCAAGGCCTGTGTGTTCAGGCTTTGCTTGGCCTCTCTGTGCAGCCTTCCTTCCTCTAGGGTATGGGGCAGGCGCCCTCTGGAATGAGGGGTTTCTGACCTACAGTCACTTTCGAGTCCTGCCTTAGGCAGATGAAAGGAGGACGGGGAAGGTCGGAGAGAGAGATGCTGTTCCCTGAGACCGGCTGCTGAGGCCTACAGCACCCCAACATTATAACCAAAGACTATGGGGGTTATGATCCAGAAACCATGGATGAAAGCATATATATATATATATATATATGTATATCATGGCTATGTAGAAAATTGTTACAGGCCGGGCACAGTGGCTCACGCCTGTAATCCCAGCATTTTAGGAGGCCGAGGTAGGCGGATCACTTGAAGTTGGGAGTTTGAGACCAACGTGGCCAACATGTTGAAACCTAGTGTCTACTAAAAATACAAATCAACTGGGTATGGTGGCGTGCACCTGCAATCCCAGCTACTCAGGAGTCTGAGGCAGGAGAATTTCCTGAACCCCGGAGACCAAGGTTGCAGTGAACTGAGATCACACCACTGTACTCCAGCCTGGGCAACGGAGTAAGACTCCATCTCAAAAAAAAAAAAAAAAAATTGTTACATTTAAATCACGTGATCTCAGTCTTTGAAAAGCAGGCAATACTTTGTGCAGTAATTCAGTCCTTATACAGTTTTTTTTAAAAATGCCAAGAAATTTTATGTTAAATAGCATAGATTCAACGTCAGCTTTGGATTTGTATAGATGAAGGGGAAGGGTTGTTTATGATCCACATGCGTCTGAGTTTTAATGATACTGATAATTCATAAATACCCTGGTAATTTTCAAGTATATAACCAGATTGACATGAATTAAAGTTACAGGTCACATGGTGTTAACAAGTCCTGGGATGACTGATTCCTTGAAGAGGATGGACCATGGGAATGTCCGGCTTTCAGGAAAGAAGTAAGACTGCCTGGATGTCTGTGATCACAGTGAAAAGGTGAGACTGGGAAAGTAGAGGTTTCGCTTTCATTGCATTGACAATGCAAGAGGCACTTTTGAACTTTTAGACTTGTAATGAAACCCTCATTTTGATATCACATTAGTACCTGCTAGGACTGATCACTAGATATGTTATTTCTGCCTTTTGAGTACACAGTAAAATTGTAATTCTTGGCCCTGTCCCACTTCTTGGGTCGGGGTCATGGGACCAGTTCAAGATCAAGCTGTTAATGACTGATTTGAGACCATCCAGAGCTCTTTTTGCCCACTGTCATCATTCCAGATAGTGGGTGCTTGATCATCCTGGCTTTCAAGATAACCCATGACAGACATACAGCCCTGCAATGGATGTATAGCACAAGCAAGAAACAAACCTTTATCACTTTAAGCCACTAAAATTTGGGATTTGTTATTCCAAAATAGCATTGACTATCTTGATTGAGATACTCTTTGGGGAGGCTAATGAGGAGACTGCTGTCCAGTAAGTCCCCTACCCGCTCTAGGAATTCTCTATAAGGCACGATGCTTACTTTCCACATCGTTTTCTGAGAGTACTTATGGAGAGAGTCTTCCTCACTCTTACTGTTTTTAAGATGGTCAATTCAAAATTAGGATTTGGTAAAGCAAGCTTCAGACCACATCCAGTTTTAATGACCAAGTTCCATGAAACATTTAAGATTGTTCTAGAAAATTCAACTTCATTTAGTCCGGAATGACATTTACTAACATGGCTGCTGCACTAGTTACAAAAAAAAAAGAAAAAATTAAATCATGAAACATTGCTGAACAGTTATTAAATAGTACCTAGTCCCTAATGGCAAATTCATTTTCATTTAATAACAAGTTATTGTGGCATGTAATGAAAAATAGAGTGGCATGCAAAATAAGCTGGCCTCTGTTTTCATTGACATTGTGCCAGTTTCTTGGGCGCAGAATTACAATACTATCCATCTTCATAAAGCACTCTTTAGAAGGCATTATTAAACAGCAGGAAGGAATGGCAGATGACAGCTTCATTAGTCATGACTAGGTAATCCTGGCCAATTTCTCCTGGGAATTATTAACACATTCCTAAACACCCTTTGGTTGATGGCATCCAGAAGAGAAGAGGAGGAGATTAGTTGTAAAGTCTTGGACATTATCCAAATCTGGCTACAACTTTCTTTAAGTCACAGAGCAGTCACTCTTCCCCAAGGCTCTCTGTCATGCTTCTGGGGAATGGGGCCTTCTGAGCAACTATGGACCAAGGCCTCAAAATTCTTGCCCATTGCTGAATACCCAATGAAAAGAAAAAATCTACACCGCATCTGCCTGGTACAAATTTAGGCTATTCTATTTGATAAATGGATTAGTCCCAAACTCATTCTTGTCTGGTTAGTGAATAGGAGCTCCAGGAGAGTGTCTTTGGGAGCCCAGTAAGTGTGTAATAAACACACTGGAATCTGACATATTCCTGTGAATCCCTGTAGCCAGGTGTCCTAAGTTAGCTAAGGATTTACGAAATCCCCCAGAGCTTGGGCACAGCCTGTGAGATTTAAAAAGATAGTTGTTGTCAACCAAGATTTTCCTAGAGTTTTTGTAACCTTCTCTCTCTTTTTTTTTTTTCTTTCTTTTTTTTGAGATGGAGTCTCTCTCTGTTGTCCCGGCTGGAGTGCAGTGGTGCGATCTCAGCTCACTGTAAGGGAGGAGACCACCCCTCATATTGTCTTATGCCCAATTTCTGCCTCCAAAGAAAGAAAAAGTAAAAACTAAAAGGCAGAAATGAAATCCACAGGCAGACAGCCTGGCACCGCACCCTGGGCCTGGTAGTTAAAGATCAACCTCTGACCTAACCGGTTATGTTATCTATAGATTACAGACATTGTATAGAAAAGCACTGTGCAAATCCCTATCCTGTTTTGTTCTGATCTAACTACCGGTGCATGCAGCCCCCAGTCATGTACCTGCTGCTTGCTCAATCGATCACGAATCTCTCACACGCACCCCCTTAGAGTTGTGAGCCCTTAAAAGGGACAGGAATTGCTCACTCGGGGAGCTCGGCTCTTGAGACAGGAGTCTTGCCGATGCCCCTGGCCGAATAAACCCCTTCCTTCTTTAACTCAGTGTCTGAGGAGTTTCGTCTGCGGCTCATCCTGCTACAACTGCAACCTCTGCCTCCTGGGTTCTAGTGATTCTCCTGCCTCAGCCTCCTGTGTAGCTGGGATTACAGGAACATGCCACCACGCCTGGCTAACTTTTGTATTTTTAGGAGAGATGGGGTTTCACCATGTTGGCCAGGGTGGTCTCAAACTCCTGACCTCAGGTGATCCACGCACCTTGGTCTCCCAAACTGCTGGGATTATAGACGTGAGCCACCGTGCCCAACCTCTGTGACTTTCTTTAATGACACTACCTTTCTGTTTCTTAGTAAGTCAGGTGGATGGGGTATTGAAGATGGCTGGCAGAGAAATGGTTTACTCTGCACATCAACAGTTTTAATTGTGGGTTAAAAACAGTGAGTAACTGTTTTTGAAATGCTTTGGGTGCTTCATGGTGTAGCAAAAGGGCTTAAGAATTAGAATGAGACTTGAGCTCAAATCATTGCCCTGCAACTTACTAGCTGTGGAACTGTGGGCAAATTAATTAAGGCCTCCCAGACTTAGTTTCCTCATCTGCAAATTAGGGATAATTATATCTATCTCATTGAGTTTTTGGAAGATTAATTAATATAATCAAGTAAAGCACTTGGCAGAGTGCTTCAATAAATATTTCTTCTTTTGTATGTTCTGTGTAAGCTATGTCCTGCTTAAAAAACAAAAGCAAAAATAATCAGATTTATAGAAGAGACATTAGTATGAGTTGTCCATATTATCCTGCCCACCTCCCCCAACTAAATTGTAAGTTCCTGTTTTTATTTACTTTAAAAAGAAAAGCAGTGATGGCTAAATAATAATGAGCAACACTTATGTACCGCCAGATGCTGGTTTAATTCTCACATCAACTGTATTATTATCCCCATATTCCAGTTGAGAAAACTGAGGCACAGAGAAGTAAGTTGCCCAAGGTTACAGAAATAGTCAATTTTGGAACTGAGATTGAAAACCAGTCTGCCTCCAGAGTTGGTGTTCTTTCATGTTTAACTTTTATTTTAGGTTCAGAGGTACATGTGTACTTTTGTTACATAGGTAAACTTGTGTTACGGGTTTTGGTGCCAGATGATTTTGTCACTCAGGTACTAAAACTAGTACCCAATATTTTTTCTGCTTCTCTACTTACTCCCACCCTCCACCCTCCAGTAGGCCCCAGTGTGCATTGTTCCCCTCTATGTGTCCATGTGTTCCCATCATTTAGCTCCCGCTTATAAGAGAGAACATGCAGCATTTGGTTTGCTGTTTGTGCGTTACTTTGCTAAGGATAATGGCCTCCAGCTCCATCCATGTTGCTGCTTAGGACATGATCTCATTGTTTATTATGGCTGCATAGTATTCCATGGTGTATATGTACCACATTTTCTTTATTCAGTCTACTGTTGATGGGCATGTCTTTATTATTATGAATAGTGCTGCAATGACCATGTGGGTGCATGTGTCTTTATGGTAGAAAGATTTATATCCCATGGCTATATATTCAGTAATTGGATTGCTAGATCAGATGGCAGTTCTGTTTTTAGGTTTTTGAGGAATCACCACACCGTCTTCCACAGTGGTTTAACTAATTTACACTGCCACTAACAGTGTATAAGCATTCCCTTTTCCCTGCAACCGTGCCAGCATTTTTTGACTTTAATAATAGCCACTCTGACTGGTCTGAGATGGTATCTCACTGTGATTTTGATTTGCAGTTCTCTAATGAGCAGTGATACTGAGCTTTTTTTCATATGCTTTTTGGCTGCATGTATGTCTTTTTTTTTTTTTTTTTTCCGAGACAGAGTTCGCTCTGTCACCCACGCTGTGATCTTGGCTCACTGCAACCTCCACCTCCCAGGTTCAAGCAATTATTATGCCTCAGCCTCCCAAGTAGCTGGGATTACAGATGTGTGCCACCACACCCTGCTGCTTTTTGTATTTTTAGTAGAGATGGGGTTTTGCCATCTTGGCCAAGCTGGTCTTGAACTCCTGGGCTCAAGTGCTGTGCCCTGCTTGGCCTCCCAAAGTGCTGGGATTACAGGTTTGAGCCACCACGCCCAGCTATGTCTTTTTTTGAAAAGTGTCTGTTCATGTCCTTTGCCCACTTTTTAATTTTTTTTCCCGCATACATTTGTTTAAGTTCCTTATAGTTGCTGGATATTAGACCTTTGTCAGATGCATAGTTTGCAAAAATTTTCTTCTGTTTTGTATATTGCCTGTTTACTCTGTTGGTAGATTCTTTTGCTGTGTAGAAGCTCTTAACTTTAGTTAGATCCCTATTGTCAACTTTCGCTTTTGTTGCGATTGCTTTTGGTATCTTTGTCATGAAATCTTTGCCAGTTTCTATGTCCAGAATGGTATTGCCTAGGTTGTCTGGTTCCAGAGTTTTTATAGTTTTGGGTTTTACATTTAAGTCTTTAATCCATCTTGAGTTGATTTTTGTATCTGGTATAAGGAAGGGGTCTAGTTTCAATCTTCTGCATATGGCTAGCCAGTAATTCCAGCACCATTTATTCAATAAGGAGTCCTTTACCATTGCTTTCTGTCAGCTTTGCTGAAGATCAGATAGTTGTGTTGTAGATGTGGCCTTATTTCTGTGCTCTCTATTCTGTTCCATTGGTCTCTGGGTCTGGTTTTTTACCAGTACCATACCGTTTTGGTTACTGTAGCTCTGTAGTATAGTTTGAAGTCCGGTAACTTGATGCCGTCAGGTTTGTTCTTTTTGCTTAGAATTGCCTTGGCTATTTGGGCTCTTTTTTGGTTCCATATGAATTTTTAAATAGTGTTTTTCTTTTTTAAATTATATTTTAAGTTCTGGGATACATGTGCAGAACGTGCAGGTTTGTTACATAGGTATACACGTGCCATGGTGGTTTGCTGCACCCATCAACCT